GATATAAGGACTTAACTGCACCTATGATTTTCTTCGCGCTACTGGTTGCTGTTCTAGAGCAATCGATGTCAACACCCATACTTGAGAAACCTCGGCTATCTAAAATAGATTCTTACGATAAAAGCATATTTCTCTCTCACATATGGAAAATTTTGCGAAAACGAAGGGTTTTAACTGAATACCTGGTGGAGTGATTGAGATAAGCGCAACATCGGCTGACAGAACACCAGTGTGATACATTAGAGGGATGTCTGACAGGAACGCGGGAATGTAATCAGCATTTCCTATAACTCAAACTTGAAAACAGGTTTCGCGATAATATTTATGTGGGCGGGACCCACAACCATTGCGATTTCCTGCTTGTTAGTACTCCCATCTCATCCCACAAAAAAATGGACGCGCCAGTGAGATGGAAGCAACGGCTATGAAACCCCGCCTATGTGCCTGCCCCAGGGCACATCGTTGTTGGGGAATCCCCAATAGGGGGGTCGTATTTGGCCGCCAGGAGAGGGGTCGTATTTGGGCTGGGAAAAATTTATTTTGATAGTTGATTTTTCTCGCTTCACGGACGTTGTAAAGGGGGGGGTCGTACTTGGTCATTGTTGGGAAGGGGAGGGGTCGTATTTACGTTTTGGCGTTGTAGGAGTGGTGGTTGACTTTTGTGGTTTTCCTGAGGCGTACTATATGCCCCCCCCCCGCTCGACAGCAAAATTTTTGGGAAAAGTAGGGGGAATTTGGGCGGTAAATTTCGTGAAAGTGCAGAAGTTGGGAAAATTGATATTGGTAGAGGGAGTCGTAAGTGTCGTCGCGGCTTTTATGTTCCCATTGCTATTCAACGACTCCCCGCCCTCTTTCGTTCGTATCGCATCGGTCGATCGATGAGGAGAAACAGAGGGCGGAGTGGGGGAAGGGTCGTACAATCCTCACAAAAGTGGGTGTACAGACTCGACTAAAGCCCAACAATCATGTGCCATGGCTTGCCTGCTGCCTGACATTGGAAAATGCTTCAAGCTATTCGCTTACGGGTCTCCTTAGCGCAGCTTTTGTCTCTGGACGTTATAAGGCATTCCTTGTTAACGCTGTTACCCACACACATAGACCCTTCATATGAGTCAGAGGGCACCCGACCACTAGCTCGTCGCAAGGCCGGTTCAGACTTGTCGCGCTTCATACGCGCGTCAATTGCGCCTTCAACGCGACGCTGCGCCTTGCACCTCTAAATTACACTCTCAGTTGTACCACTCCAGTTCCTCTTATTTCTTTTCGTCATATTTGTATTCGAGGCGGGGTGCTGTAGTACAAGTTGGCGCGCTTTAACCACTCGCCGCTGCGCCGGTTTCATATCCCGGTCGGACTCCCGCCCAAGGCAATCCAAGCTTCTTGCTCGGCGACGCGCAAGATGTCCAATTCGTCGGGAGAAATGCACTGACTTTAATCGGCTGGCCACCGCAAATCATTGTATGGGCACATCGCCCATTCATAAGCACTACGATTTGAATGGAATAGAATGCGCTGCGCAACCCCAAAGAATAGATCAACGGCGAAGAACTTTATCTTTTTATGTATTCAAGCCCTTTCAACTGCTTCACATTAAAATACAAAAGACATTGGAAAACAGTGAAGAGGGTGTGGGACATTACTTCTCATTTAGGCGACGCTCATGAAATGCCCAGTATTTCCAGCTAGTTCTACATACTGGAGCGTCTGACTTTACGCCAATTAGGTGATGGTGCGAATGTCGCGCACGTGATACCGCTTGCAAGGTGTCCTTCGCTGTGGCGTAGTCTATCGATAATGTCGACGAAATGGACTTGTAATGAGACACCGATTCTTCAGATGAAGCCGTTAAACACAACGCTGGTTCACCATCCCGCGAATAAAATACTCCGCCGTGGTTATGAGGGGTACCCACGTCTTGTTCCTCCACCTCCCTCCCCCCCCCAACCAAACATAAAAATAAAAGCTAACCTTCATTCACAAGTGGCCGCAGGTTTCCACAAATAAAAAGGCAATTTGAACGTATCTTTCCTGAATACAATGCCATTCGAATGTGGTATGGGAGTATTGGAAAGTGGTACTCACCCCAGTACTCTTTATCCGTCCATGGAACTCGCCCCTGCAGGATAATATGTGCAGGCCGTATTCGAGACAGATTGTTTCGCTTCACATGACGACATAATGCGTCCAACAGCTCGGTAGGAGTAGATGCATGTGGATGTACGTAGATGTCGCTATCTTCAACGAGTGAGCATTTCATGAAATCGCAGAATGGGACAGAATAAACTTGACAATGAGAAGGTACTTTGGACAGGGGTACATTTTACCGGTGCTTACCGGATGTGATACACGAAACAGCTTCATCAGCAGTCACACGCCTGGGAAACTTCCCAGCAATCGGAACAGTCAAACGACTCGATAATCGA